ACTGTCCTCCTGTTGTTCATCGACTTGCTCAAACAGGCCCAGTAACATTGCGAGACTTGTTAGGCATATCGAATTGTTCACGTATTCAATATGCCATCTGTGTTTGGCATATCAAATACGTGAACAACCTTATGAAAATAAAATTTAAAAAACAAAACAAAACAAAGAAGTATGGCTTGAAACTCATTCACATCTATAATCTTGTTCAATGTAGATGTTAATTCTCTAATCAAAAGATATTAGAAGGTCACAGCCTCTGTATTTGAACTCTGCTGACCCATTGTGCCCAGCTTCACAGCTCTGAAGTGCATGCGGCCAAATAAGCAACCACACAATAGCTCCTCCTTATTTCATACTACTCATAGCACAGTAGGAGCACAGCCAACCCAATGGGGAAGAAGTTCCCCAAGCCCAAAAAGCAAAAGCAAGGAGAGATGACTTACCCAGCATCCACTAGCTCATTAAATCTTAAGACAACAGTGACATCATTGTGAGGATGTTAAATAGGATCAAAGAGACAATGGCACAGATTGTCAGCAAAGCCAGTAGTGAGTGAAGAAGAAAGAAAGGCTGTGGAAACGGTGAGAACTACAAACAAATGAAAAATATGTTAGGTGATAGAAAAGCCCAATAGAATTTATAAAGGGCAGATTAATAGCAGGTGAGCAAAAGGCTCAGGGTTCCAAGATGAGCTGGAGGAAACCAGTAAAAACAACAGAAGGTGGAAAATAATCTGAGAAGAAAAAGCATACCAGAGAACTATGGGATGAGTGCAAAAACAATATAAAACTCATCAGGGTCCCTGAAGAACAGAAAGGCATATTTAATGCAGAAACAACATTTAAAGAAACCATAAAGAGGAATTTCCTAGACTTGAGGATTATAGGCACCAATAACCAAGAGGCCCAAAGGGTTCCAGTGAATATAGACTCAACTAGGACTATACCAAGACACAGTGTATTCAAAATTACAAACTGCAAAGAGAATACTGACAGCAGCAAGATCAAAAAAGGAACTTATGTGGCCCTGGTACAGTGAGTAAGGTGCTTGTCTGGCATGCAGCCAACCCAGGCTTAAACCCATATGGTACTCCAAGTCGACCAGTAGTGATTCCTGAGCAAAGAGTCAAGAGTAAGCCCTGAGCACAGCTGGGTATGGTCTAAACATAAGAACAGTAATAACAAAAAAAGAAAAACGAAAAACAAGAGCTTACATTAAAAAAAAAGCCCATTAGATTCACAACAGACCTATCAAATGAGACTCAATGAGTTAGAAGAGAATGGAGGAATATAGTACAAAAACTCGATAAAATGAACACCTCACCAGGTGAATGCTCTGTCCAGTTAGATTATCATTCAAATTTGGAGGAATGATATAAAGTTTCAGGGCAGAGACCAAGATCTAGTACTTGAGTGCAGACGACCTGATTCAATCTTCACACTCCACATGGTCCTGCCAGGAATGATCCTTGAGTACAGAGCCAAGAGTAAGCCTTGAACCAAAATCCAAATAGACAAAAAAGTTGTGTGTGTGTGTGTGTGTGTGTGTGTGTGTGTTTGCATCACACCTGGCAATGCTCAGGGGTTACTCCTGGTTCTGCACTCAGGAATTACTGCTGGCAGTGCTCAGGGGACCATATGGGATGCTGGGAATCAAACCCAGGTTGGCCATGTGCAAGGGAAACAACACCCTACCTGCTGTGCTATAGCTCTAGGTCAAGACAAAAAAGTTTAAGGCACAGGCAACAGTTTAGGAAATTCATAGACCTGAAACCTGTTTTATAAGAAACTTTAAAGGAGCTCCTTCAAAAGACAGGGCAAACTTCTCACCTCATGGTACTGGGTATGACATTCTTTGATTGTGCTTATGGTTGCCCACTACTGATTAAGGAGAGGTATATTAACTTCTACTTTGCTAAAAGATTTTATACATTTCCAATAATGAATTAAAGTCTTGTTTACATTGAACATTCTATGTCTTATCATTCTATGTCTTTTTGAAACATACATAGAGATTGTTATTGAAATTTCTTATCTGCATTAGCAGACATTTACACGGTATCTATAATGCAGTAATTTCTAATATAAAGGTAAGGTAAAGGCCCTCCCGTTGATCGTCGATTTGCTCGAGCGGGCCCAGTAACGTCTCCATTGGAGACTTTGTTGTTACTGTGTCTGGCATATCGAATACTCTCGGTAGCTTGCCGGGCTCTCCGAGAGGGGCGGAGGAATCGAACTCGGGTCGGCCATGTTGGCCGCGTGTAAGGCAAGCGCCCTACCCGCTGTGCTATCGCTCACCTCGAGCAAATTTCTAATATAAATCCAAAAATTCATTTCTTAGGATTAGACACTATGAACTTGTGTAGGCCTATTCAGATTTTGTCCTTTAAAATTTCCTACTAAATTTTGCAGTTGTAGGCTTTAACTTATATCATGTGGACTCCAAAATAGATTAGAAAAGAGTTTTTTTTTTTTTGCTTTTTGGGTCACACCTGGAGATGCACAGGGGTTACACCTGTCTCTGCTTTCAGGAGTTACTTCTGGCAGTGCTCAGGGGACAATATGGGATGCCAGGAATTGAACCCATGTTCAGCCGCATGCAAGGCAAACGCCCTACCCGCTGTGCTATCTCTCCAGACCCTAGAAAAGAGTTTTTTAAAATTGTTTTATTAATGACAGAGGAGACATGATTACTACCATAATGAGACCCGAGTACAAAATTAAGTTAATGCAATATATTTTAGATATTAGGATCGAAAACATGTTTATATAAATGAGAGCCGGAATTATATTATATTAAATTTTTTTCATTAAATTTATTTATTGAATCACCTTGAGAAAAGTTACAAAGCTTTCAGGTTTAAATCTCGGTCATACAATGATCAAACACCCTTCCCTTCAACAGTAATTATTTTTCACCTCCAAGAACCCCAATATACCCCGCCTCCTACCCCTCCGGATGCCTGTGAGGCCAATGATTTCTACTTAACTCTCTCTCTCTACTTTGATTACATTCATTATTTCAACAAAAGATGCACCATTATTGTTTGGAATTTCCCCCCCAACAATCAGAACTGCTGAAAAGCCATTGTGAAATAATTTGTTTTCTATTGCTGGTTATGAAAACTATATGATGTCGCGTGGCCACAATGGCAGCCACGCAATTTTGAATTTCTGATATTTTACTAATTAAGTCTGGAGGGATTTCTGCCAAGAGCCAGATAATTACAAGATTGTCTTCTGTGCGTCTGGTGCCATGGCCGTGTTGGAGAGCTGCTCATGGGTGGCATCTCGTGGCCTCGTTAGGGTGTAAAGAACGAGCCGTTTCCACCTCCCATCCCATGAGGCTGCCGTTTCCCCATCACTATCAGCTCATACCTGGCTTTCCAATAAGCTCTGAGGCAGCGGCCACCATGCTGCCGGGGGGAGGGGGGAAAGGCAGAAGAGACAGACACCCTTTGCCTCCCGAGGTGGGGGGGCATGGCGCCATAGTTTAATGCATAGCCCATTGACATTTCTGCTGTAAGCTCTAAAGCTCATAGTCCATTGACATTCCGGGCTCTGGACTAGATCTGTGTACCTCTGGTGCCATGGCCGGGCCGGAGAGCCGCTTATGGGGGGCAACTTGTGGCCTTGGTAGGGCATGAAGCAATTTTTCTTAAATAAGATACTTTGTTTAAACACCATGGTTTACAAAGTTGTTCAAAATACAATTGTTAGTCAGTGTTCAAACACTAATCCCATCACCAAAGTGACCTCTCCATCACTGTCCCCATTTACCAAACTACTCTCCAAGTCTATTAGGCACACAATTATTTATTTTATATTGCTTGTTGCAACTAAATGACTAAAAGAATTAAAAATACTTCAGTAAAGACAATATGCAGAAATTGTTTTATCTCACCACTGGGTTTTTAAGCCTTTATCTAAGGAATTACTAAGATTTTTGTTGCTAATTGAATCTTTTGTGTTATTGTGCTTGTTTTATTAGTTGACTTTAGTTGGCTTCTATGCTATTTTTCCATATATTATGGTATGCTCCTACTGAGATTTCAGTATTGACAAATTTGGAGACGTGGCAGCACAGTTCTGGCACTTGCGAATCTTGCCTTATTCTGGCCAACCTGATTTCGATTCCCAGCATCCCATGCGATCTCTAGAGCTCCCTAGGATTGATCCTTGGGCACAGAGACAGGAGTAAACCATGAGTATCGCTGGGGGGTGGGGGGAGGTGATCCAAAACAGGCAAAAGAGGTAGGATATTTGGATATTTGGATGCTTCAAAAATCAAAACCCAATGGTTTACAAGAAACAAATATGAGATTACACAATAACTTCATGCTAAGAAAGGTGGAAAGCGACCATACAAGCGAACAGTAGGTAAATTATTCTTAATTGGATTATTTATCTACAACCCTGCCTAGAACTGGAATGGAAAGTGCCCATCAGCTGTGTACTTTAGCAGCTGTCTCTGTGTGCAGTAGGTGGCGCTGTCTCACACAACAGAGCTTGACCTCTTCCTTTCTAAGGAGCATGTTGTCAGAACTCAAGCTCTTGTTGGCATGGTCCAAAACAAACAGAAAAAGCATCCAGTTAGATGGATATCTCACACCATATGCAAAAGTTAATCCAAAAAGGGCTGAAGATAAGAATCCATAAAATACACTGAGGAAATGCAGGCGAAACAATCCAGGATTGGGGCTGGAGCAATAGCACAGCGGGTAGGGCGTTTGCCTTGCACGCGGCCAACCCGGGTTCGATTCCCAGCATCCCATAGGGTCCCCTGAGCACCGCCAGGGGTGATTCCTGAGCGCAGAGCTAGGGGTAACCCCTGTGCATTGCCAGGTGTGACCCAAAAACAAACAAACAAACAAACAAACAAAAACCAATCCAGGATCTGAACCTCAAAGGTCTTTTCAGTATGATTTCATTAGCAAAGATGACAGAAACAAAAACAGACTTTTAAAAAACTTTCAAAGGATTTTCAAATTTTTTAATAATTAAAAATGGGTTTGCATGGCAAAAGAAACTCTTTGTGCATGGGCCGTGCTAATCTTCTCTGTATCGTTCTAAGTTTGGTATGGGGGCCAGCAAGCAAAAGAAACTCAAATTAAAAGACTCCTTGCTAAATGGAGGAAGATATTTGCAGACAGTTAATCAGATGAGGTACTGATAAAGGATGTATAAAATTCTTACAGACTCAGCAACAAGGAAAAAATGGAAATAGGAGACGAAAAGACACTTCCCCAAGTAGGATATAGAGATGATCAATAGGTGAAAAAAGTGTTCATTGTCACTTATTATCAGGGACATAAAAATAAAAACAATGAGTTCCCATCTCACATCAATAAGCACTATAGCACTATCCTCCCATTGTTCATGGATTTGCTTGAGTGGGCACCAGTAACGTCTCCATTTGTGAGACTTGTTGTTACTGTTTTTGGCATATCAACTACATCTCAGGTAGCTTGCCAGGCTTTGCCGAGCAGGGAGAATACTCTGGGTAACTTGCCAGGCTCTTCAAGAGGGGCGGAGGAATCGAACCCAGGTTGGCCGCGTGCGGGGCAAATGCACTACTCACTATGTTATTGCTCTGACCCCACATCAATAAGAATGGTATCACTGTATCATTGTCATTCCATTGGTCATCAAATTACTAGAGCGGGTGCCAGTAACGTCTCTATTCCTCCCAGCCCAGAGATTTTAGCAGCCTCTTCTTACTCGTCTTTTCCCAATGATTGGAGGCTCTTTCAGGGTCAGGGGAATGAGACCTACTGTCGTTACTGTATTTGGCATATTGAATACGCCACGGGGAGCTTGCCAGGCTCTGCCCGTTCGTGCAGGATACTCTCGGTAGCTTGCCAGGCTCTCCGAGAGGCATAAATGAATAGGAAGTGCCTAATAATGTGTCGTGCAGTCCGGAAAACGGCCTGGAGCATGGCGGTGGTTGGGCAGTGGAGGTCCACTGCTGGGGCTAGGTCCCTTGGGGTGGGGAGGGCTCTCACTCGCCCACAGCTAGTGCAGAGAATGGTAGATATTTTGAAAAGAATAGAAACAAACAGTGACACCAGAGATTTGTTTTCTTTAAAAAAGATCACTAATTCATTGCTGGTGAGAATATTGTCTGGTTCAGTCCCTGTGGAAGACAGGATGGAGATGTCTCAAAATTAATAAAAGCCCCCATATGACTTAGTGATTCCACTACTAGGCATCTACTCCTAAATCACACACTTGAAAAAAGATAAAAGCGGGCTGGAGCGATAGCACAGCGGGTAGGGCATTTGCCTTGCACGCAGCTGACCCAGGTTCGGTTCCCAGCATCCCATATGGTCCCCTGAGCACCACCAGGGGTAAGTCCTGAGTAACCCCTGTGCATTTCCGGGTGTGACTCAAAAAGCAAAAAAGAAAAAAAGAGAAAAGAAAAGAGATGAAAGCACACCTATGTTCATTGTAGCACTTAGTACAATAGCTAGGACATGGAAACAATTCAAACATCCAAAGACAGACTAGTACATAAAGAATTTGTGGTACACACAAAAATGGACTATTATGCAATCACAAGGATGAAATCATGCATTTTGCTGCAACTTGGATGGAACATGGCGGATGTCATGTTAAGCAAAATAAGTCAAGGAGAACAAACACCAGAGGTTCTCACTTGTCTGTGGTATATAGAGTAACAAGACAAGAAAAGGTATAAACCATGGGTAAACCTTTTTGTTTTTGTTTGTTTTTTGTTTGGAGGCCACACCAAGCAGTGGTCAGGGATTTCTCTTGGCTCTGCACTCAGGGATTCTTCATGGCAGGGCTCAGGGGACCATATGGGCGGGCTGGGGATCAAGCCCATATTGGCTACATGTAATGTAGCAAACATCCTACCTGCTGTACTATCTCTAGCCCCAAAAACCATTACAAAAATTTTTTTTTATTAGTGAAACACCATGAGGTACAGTTGTAGACTTACAAATTTTTGTGCTTGGGTTTCAATTATATAACGATCGAGTACTCATCCCTCCACAATGTACATTTTCCACCACCAATGATCCCAGTATCCCTCCCATCCCCATCCCCCCATCCCACCCTGCCTCTGTGGCAGGGCATTTCCTTTTGTTCTCTCTCTCCTTTTGGGTGCTGTGGTTTGCAAAAGAGGCACTGAGTGGCAATCATATTCGGTCTATAGTCTACTTTCAGCGTGCATCTCCCATCCTGGGAGGATCCTCCCAACAACCTTTATTTAGTGCTCCCTTCTCTATCTGAGTTGCCTTTTCCCTTAGCATGTGCTGCTGGCCTCCAAGCCATGGAGTGAACTTCCTGGTACTTATCTCGGCTATTCTTGGGTGTTAGCCTCCTATTTTGTTACTTTATGTTCCTCAGATGAATTCAATATTTCTATGTCTGTCCCTCTCTTTCTGACTCATTTCGCTTAGCACGGTACTTTCCACGTAGTACCACTTGTATGTAAATTTCATGACTTCATCTTTTCTAACAGCTACATAGTACTCCATTGTGTAGATGTGCCAAAGTTTCCTTAACCAGTCATCTGTTCTCGGGCACTCAGGTTTTTTCCAGATTCTGCTATTGTAAAGAGTGCTGCAATGAACAAACAATTGCAGATGTCACTTCGACTATACTTTTTTGCCTCTCTGGGATATATTCCCAGGAGTGGTATTGCTGGGTCAAATGGGAGCTCAATTTCTAATTTTTTGAGAATTGACCATACTCTGCTAATACCATTTTTTAAAAAAAACTTTATTTAAATACCACTGTTTACAAAATTGTTCATAATAAACTAGAAATAGAGCTTCCACCCAGCAATTCCCCTCTGGCTATCAACCCTAAGAATCTGAAAACTCAATTTAAAAAAGATATCTGCGCTCCTATGTTCATTGCAGCACAATAGCACAGTAGCCAAATAGTAAAAAATATGGAGACTACCTACATGTCCAAGGTCAGATGACTTGATAAAGAAAATGTGGTACATATACACAATGGAATATTATTTAAGAAAAAAAGAAAATCAAGGACTTTGCTGCCACAATAACGAAGAGGGGAATGAAGTTTGTCAGAAGGACAGGGACAGACACAGAATTACCTGTCTTATATATGTGGGATATAAAGAAACAGAATAAGAGACCAACAAATCCCCCAAAACAGCAGAAACTGAGAATGTGTCTTCAGCAGGAATTTATCAAAGGAAAGTCATTGGAGTTACCTCTGGATTCAGTATAATGAAGTGTGGGTGACAAAACTGACATGAAATAGTTATTTTAATAATAACATATATTGGGCCAGAGAGATAGTACAGTGGGTAGGACATTTGCCCTGCATGCATCTGACCTGGGTTCAATCCCTGGTAGGTGAAGGACACTGGTACAATGGTGGAAGTAAGTGGACAACTGGGTAGAGGGTGTGGTGCTGGAATATGTCATGTATGAAACCTTACTAATAATAGTTTGTAAGTCACAGTGCCCAGAATTGATGAGTTAATTAAATAAAATCCGAGTTGCTAGAAAATGCCCCCTTGAACTTAGTGGTTAATGAAAAAGAATTGGGCAAAAATTAGGCAAAACCTTTTTACAGGCAATTACTGTAATAAGTTTTTTCAGGTTTCAGTGTTAGTCTGCCTAGTATATGGAAATACATGTTATTATAATTTTTTTGTTTGGGGGTCATATCCAGGATGCTCAGGACTTCCTCAGCACTCAGGGATCTCTCCCGGCAAGCTTAGGGAACCAGATGGGGTGCGGGGGAAATTGAATCCAGGTCAGACGTACATAAGACAAGTGCTCTATCCCCTTTCTGGCCCAGTGCATGTTGTTATTAAAATAACCGTTTCATGTCAGTTTTGTCACCTGATCTTGAAGTAACCTATTCTTTAGACCCCCCATCTTATTTTATTAAAGCACCATGAATTACAAAGTTATTCATGGTTGGGTTTTTGACATATTATGTTCCATTATTGATCCTGCACCAGTGTAAACTTCCCTCCACCATTGTTAAGTAACCTATTCTTGATTTGAAGAAAGCAGTTTTATTTACAGTTATGAAATTGTTGCTTGTTTCATAGTGATCTGTGTGAGTTTTTAAACCCAGTAAAGTTTTTAAAACTTCAGAATTCTAAGGAGTGTTACTGACTGTTAAGTTCTGGTTAATTCACAGTGTGGAACAAGCTTTCTTATCACTTATGTGTAGTAGGATCTTTGGTTGTGAACATTCTGAAATCTTCTGCAATTTATAGAATTGTTCTAATAATGTCTTATTCTCAGAGTGGTCTGCAGAAAAAAAAAGACTATAACAAGTACTGTAGGGTACAAAGTTGATGGTAAATGAAAAGTTCGAGGAAGTCAAGGTTTTCAACATGGCACTGAATGGGTTAAACAAATACATTATTGTTAAACTGTATGTTTTACCGCTACAGATTTTAACCGGACTTAGGACCACAGCAAAGGGATTCATTGTCATTTTGTGAGTAAGGGGAGAAGCATTTGTTTTCCTCTCTTGTTGATACCTTTAAAAAAAAAAAAAGGCCCTCCCGTTGATCGTCGATTTGCTCGAGCGGGCCCAGTAACGTCTCCATTGGAGACTTTGTTGTTACTGTGTCTGGCATATCGAATACTCTCGGTAGCTTGCCGGGCTCTCCGAGAGGGGCGGAGGAATCGAACTCGGGTCGGCCATGTTGGCCGCTTGTAAGGCGAACGCCCTACCCGCTGTGCTATCGCTCCAGCCCAATACATTTTTAATGCCTTAACACCTTTAATGTTATTTTTTAATATATTTTTAATACATGGCAATAATGTTTGCTTACCTAAATCCAGAAAGGAAATCTTTCCTCTCTATAGTAGGATCAATTCTTAATACAGATGGGAAATCTCAATAACCATTTATGGAGCCCATAGGGATTTAACAGCCAAGAGCAAATGCAGTAATAAGTTACTGTGACTAGTGCCCTGCAAACCTCAGGGAGACCCAAAAGGCTGGTCAGCTAAAGGAAGAACTGGAAACATCTCTGCTTCAAAAACAAGGATTTCCTATTCTGGAACCAATTCCTGGTTCCTGCTCTTAACATGAAGAAAAATCTCTAGGAACCTGAATCTCTCCCATTCTCAG